ACCCCGGAATGTTTCGTACCGGATGCAGGCGTGTGGACGCTTTGCCTACTGCTTACTCGTAAGAGGCCGTCATGACGAACCATGGGCAAGCCCGCCCGAACGGCTGCATGCAGTTTTAACTTTTAAAAGTATGTTATGGGGGACATACGGGAGACATCACACTACCGGGCCGAGTCGCGACGCGCCAAAAGCACTTGTCTCGCTTGCGGTCCAGATAGGCAGTGCAGGTGCGGAGCAGTGCGGAGCTGAGCCCGCGCCGGGGTGTCGGGTTCGGCCGGCCGCCACGCGCCGCAATCGGCTAATGAGCCGTGAACGGGCGGCGTAACGTACACCCCGAGCAGGCGCGGGGGAGAGGCGCCTGCCACAGCTGGTCAGATCAGATCAGTCCGCTCATCAGCTGATCGCTGATCAGACCACCTATCTGCCCGCTGATTACTTCCCAGTGCCCCAGAAGTTAAAAAAAGACACAATCTCCTGTTATGGTTTGGTACAATTATCTGCGTCCCGCACTCAGGGCTCAGGGCTCAGGCCCACCAGCCGCGTGGCCTTTTTGCAGTCTCACTACTGTTCATTATTTGAACATTTTGGTTTTCATACGATTCATACCCCCTCTCCATTCCATAGTTCCCCATTCCAACGACACCAAACATTTTCTTTCTCGTCCCCAAAAGAACGGCTCCAGAGACTGCGAAAGGCCATAAGCACGGCTCTGATGCACCAACAGAACAGTCGGACGCAACGGCCGATTTGCTCACGGGGGCGGAACCGGAACGGCGGCGTAACAAAAGAGGCGGAGCAGGCGGAGCAGGTGCAACGCCGCGACAGGGCGAGCGCGGCGCGGGCACGGGACGGGGCACGCTCAAGTCTCTGGGGACACTTGAGTAGAGGAGACCTACCACCAAAATCAGTAAAGTGTCAATATGCTTGAACTCAGGCGGACGCATTCCAGAAGCAGCACGCCGACACATTGCAAACCCAGCCAAGCGTATATTCTTAGTACAAACAAGGCGAAACAAGGAAGACGACAAGGGAGGACTTGACCTTGCCTTGTACTACAATAAGTACACACTTGCGGGTAACTGGAAGTTGCACGGGGAACGCCTACGCATCTAGAAGACTATAAGCGAAGTCGATGACTGCTTTGTTGTTGCCTTGACAGTTTCAAAGACCAAGCGATTGTGGAATGTCGCTATAGCTTGTAAAGACCGGGTAAGATTATAATAACACTAAATAGTTAGGGACAATTAACTTGGAGATTGTTAAATTGTATCTGAGCTGCCACAAATTATCTCAAGAAAATAATACAAATGTTTCCGATAAAATCGAAATTGTGTCCTTCCCTGGGATAAATAAATTATTCCTTTTGAATCAGTCCTGAAAAGGTATCGCGCAAACCACACGTGGTAATGGGGGGGGGGGTAGTGATACCACTTGGGGGGTCTTTAGTGAGCCGCCTAAAAGGTAGGCAGTGCGTGGCACAAAAACCCTGTACCTAGGCAGGCGAACCCACGTTCCATCGTCCTCCTAGCCGGACCTTACATACCGCGCCCCGCACCCGGTGCGAACGCCCTTTTGGGCCTGCCACCTTAGCGTCGACCAGAAAGTACGTCCGTTTCTCTCAAGATTAATCGCTAAATTACAGGAGCACGGCGCCTGCGAGTCTCGTGGTAGGCCAGCCCGCAGTACACGCATGCACTGCTAGTAGGATGTTGCCTACCTAGCAGGCGCCACGACAGCTTGCCTGGCTGAGCCAGGTAATTCCGTAACGGCGTTTGACTGACGTTCTTTCCGGACGACCCCTCATACATACACATGGAAGAGCTAGCTAAGTGGGCGTACGTATCGTAGACAGACAACGGCCTCTGCAGGACGTCATGTCCTGGGGTCTCGGTGTAGCCTTCACGCACGGACACACGTACACACATACATGCAGCGCAGCGCCCAAGGCTTTACGGCACGAATCGGAGCTTTTTACCTCTTCCTGAAAACATGCCTCCACAGCGCTGGCGCAGCGGCGCACGCCCCTCTAGTATCGACGTGGGGCGGGGCGGGGGCCATGCAAGCTGACGCCATCCTCACCCTCACCCCGTGCTGGCTCCTCCTCGCTCCGCCCCCCGCCCGGTGGCGGGCCGCCCCCAGCAGCCAGCTCGGTACGCCCTCACGCCGCACCACACTGCTCAGCCACTCTGACGGCTGGCGCAGGTCTGACCGACACAGTCGTTGTGAAAATCTCAGTTTGAAAATGTCCGCAATTATTGTTAGGAAAATATGAACTTACATTTTCAGAGTTACCACTCCTGAAGTTGCACCCCCCCCCCCCTTTCCGATAAAGTAGCATCATCCAAAGACACTGATCCGGATTTAAACTCGTTAGAAAACATAAAGTAAATACAAGAAAACTAAGCAACGACGGAACAAATTTTTAGCTCGTGAGTCTTATCCACAAGAACATGGCTGAATTGGAATTGTTAGTCATCTCGACCAAAATCACTCTTGAAGAGTTATGCGAACGCCCATTGAATGACTAGAGGAGCGATATGAATCAATATAGTGGAGTGATAGGCGTGAGTGATACAGAGCGTGGACGTTTTGCCCCCTTGGAGTGAATAGGTATTGTAGCCTGCGCATGCATAGCTACCATTCAGGCGCGGTTTTAAGTCCGCCTGGCGGGCGATTTACTGTGGGCTGCCTACTTTCAGGGGTTTTGTAGGACAAACTTTGCACATTCCTGGTGTCGAATTTAAACTCGACATCCCGTACACTTCTGAAACGTCCACGCATAACTGCACAACGTCTGGTGTGCAACTTTTGACACCTGGTATGATTTTTCTGTAGTATTACTAAGTACAGTGTGTAACCAAGTGTGCAGACTTTGCACACTATGAAGTGGTGCTTTATGTTTAAACATCATGAAGTTTGCTAATTAGTGAAAAGCATACTTAAAGAGTACAAAGGTGCACACTTGTTATACCAGTGCGTGTACCTAGCAGAACTGTGACATTCGCAGTAAGGCGAACATCAGCGAAGATGTACAAGCTCTCAGAACCATCACATTTCTTGCCGTGTGGGGTTGAACATCGGGCAGGGAATGTCGCCGCCTCCCCCTCCCCTCCCCACAGGCGCGTAATATGTTTTAAACGACGCGGGAGGGTGCGGGGTGCGGTCACACTGCTTACTGCTTGTTAGCGCGGCGTCACGGCGGTGCCGGCCAGCTGAGCGGAGGACGGGCGGCGCATCGCCAGCAGCCTCACCTCGGTCAGTCACAGTCACTGGGCGGTCCCTCTCCGCATCCATCACCAAAGCTTTGCAGAAAGAAAGCGGCGCGCGCGACAGGATTTTCGCGCAATTCTGACAGAAAAGGGGAGACTCTATCGAGGCGAGCTCGCCCTTCGACAAGAAGTTCCCCGCCTCCACCCTCCGCCTCGCCTGTTCTCTCACTTGCTGCCCCGCCCACTCGCCCTGCCTTCCCTCCCGGGTCACCCCGCCGCGATGCGCTGTTGTGCCCGGTGGGGACCAACACAGATACCTAGGGGCGCAGATACCTAGAGGCGCAGCGCAGCCCCATCAAAGATAAAGGCGTTCGCGGTCGTTCGGCAGGCGCAGTGTTATCAAGGCAAGGTTACGTGTGCATTCCTCGAGGATCACTATGATGACTTCTTGTTACTTTGTGACGCGCGCGCGCGCGCGATGAGCTGAACAATAAGTCAAGTAAAGTCGGGGGAGAGGGAGGGGAGCGGGAACGCGACTAACGTGGCGACAAACAATTAGAGGGACAACAAAGGCTTTGATATGACAGCCCGCGGTCCGCTGCCGCGCGCGCTCCCCTCGCGCGGTCCGGGTGGCGGGGCAGGGCGGGGCGAGGCGCGGCGGGGAGCTAATCTGCGCGCTCATCTCATTACAAGTGGAGCGCTGGCCGCCCACGTGGCGTAGAGCGGAGGGGAGGGTGCGCGCCCCCCGGACCCGGCGGGGGCCCGGCCCGGCCCGGCCGGGGTGCCCCTGGACCCAGAGGGGCTCACAATGGACAATGGGCGCGCGAGCACGGCAAGGGCACGCTCGCCCCACCAACGCCAATAAGCCACAACGCGCCTAGTGGCCCCTAAACGCGCCACGCCGCACTGCCGGAGGCTGGGGATGCTCGACGACGGACTGCCGCGCACGGCGCACGGCGTTTTGTAGCGTGGGCGTTATTGTTGCAACCTAGATGGCGCCTACCGACCGGCCCCACTCCGCCGCCGCCCGGACCCCACCCCCACCCCGAGCATTCGGCACGCCTTTGCAAGTGTTCTAATATAAACCATTTTATGACAAATAGCCGGCCAGGCTCGGCGGGAGGGGTCGGCTGGACGGGGTGGAGGGGTGCGGGAGGGGTGACTTCCTGCTATACGCGTTATGCTATATTGATATCGAGAAGCATATGCGGGGAGGCGCGGGGAGGCGCGGGGAGGCGCGGGGCGGGGCGGAGGGGGAGTGACACCGCCGCGCCTGATGAAGCCGAGCAGCTGTTATTAAAACAAGTCAGAGTGGAGGTCAGTGCCGCGGAGGGAACGCTGATCGCGGGGGAGGCGCGGGCGGACGTGGGCTAAGTACTGCAAAACCGACGAAAACTAAGAGCAATTGAGGGGTGTAACAAGGTTGGGGTTGAAGTGTAATTTCTGGCGAGCAACATCGACGTACTTTCAAGCCACGTAGGACTCAAACCTTAAAAAATGCAAATTTGGCATGCCACAAGAAACGCATACCGAGATTTCTTTCGAAGCGGGGTATTAACCGCAATGGAACGGAAGTTACTTAAAATGTGCACGCTCCAAATGTCTCTTGATTCGATCTCTTTCACTGTCAACGTCAACCTTCACTTGCGGTGTGACCGCAACGTACAAACACGAAATAAGCCATGCGTGCGGGCAGTGCGGGGTGAGTTGACCTTCACCACCTTCACAAAGAAGAAACTGCCATGCACCTATCGGACTGCCGAGCAGGCGCGGTCGGCTACGACGGCTCACCCTCCAGCACGGACATGTCGTTGAGGAGCTCCCCCTGCTGGACGACAAGCAGGTTGTGGACGTGGTGGTGGTGACCGAGGTGTTTGTCGGCGCCATCGAGGCCGCCTGACGCCGCCGCGACGGTGCTCACGCAGGCCGTCGCCGTGGATGACGTTGACGTGGCCGCGTCCTGGTCATCGTGCAGGATGTTGTCGAGGGCGTCGTCAAGAGCGTTGTTGAGGGCGTCGTGTAGGACGCCGTCCAACTGTACGACGGCGACCTCCTCTGCGCTCTGCTCGGACATGGCTGAGCACGCCCGGCCCGTCTGTACACCGCCTGGCCCCGCTCCCGCTATCAGGCCCCTACAATAATCGCACGAACACTTCACAAAACACCGCGCGCCAGTACCCTATTGAGACATGCCGGAGGGGGGAGGGGGTATCCACAACGCACATGACATACACATAGCGGCCCTGCGGACTCAAAAGAGTCATGTCAACGGAGGGTCGGATTCGAGAGTATCGCCGGAAAACGACGAAATTTTACAGATTGGTTCTGTTGTTCAAATACTGTGACGTCCCAGTCGTTTTAATGTGACATAACGTACACGAACCATGCACTGAGCCTGTGAGGGCAGAACGATGCATAGGCAAATTACGTGCACTGTAAAAAATATATTGTAATTTTACAGGTGAACATTTCACAGAGACTTTAGGGAAAAATTGGAACCCTGCCCGTAAAACATTATTTTGGTCCAGGAGCTGTAGTTTTTCGACAGATGTGTTAAAATATGGAGCGACCGTTGGGGGTCTAGGGCAAATGATGTAATTTCACAACTAACATGATATTCAAGGGGTAAATAAATATTACTTTGTATAACCACATGTTTTTCACCGTTTTGGTCCTGAATACGCCTACTGGATACCAGAATTACGGATTCTCGGAGCGAATGGCAAGTGAGAGATGACAATGCAGAGACGATCCTGACGGTCGAATGCGTACAGGAGAACGATCACCCACACTATGTGCTCCGCTTGGTCAAATGTGTTGTAAAAAAAGTGGATAGCGTGCCGGAGTTCGCCGCGGCAGTTCGAATAAGGTTCCGCACCCGCCCGCCCAGTTCACCGATTTAGTTAGTCATTCCGTGGATCTGCGAAGTCCTCCGAATAAGAGAAGCATGGGGGATATGATTTATTTGCGGCCTCCAAAAACGGCACAAATGTTTTTATCGCGAAATTTTTTTGAAACGGGGTTGACTACTGCTTGGCTCCTCGACGCCCCCGCGTTGTCTCCAGGCTGGCTCCCGGTTGTCTTTTAGAAGGCTTTAAATTGGCTCCAAGATGGCTCTCAAGTGTCTCCGATATGTCCTCCCAATGGCTCCACTTGGCAATGACTCCGGGTTGTCCAAATGCCGTCTCATGTTTGGCTCCAAAAGCCGCTGCTGAATGACTATTTCCGTCACTAAGTTTCCCTTCGCGGAGCCATTCGCTATGGCTACGGCTCGGCTACACAAAAGCTGAAAAGTGATTACGGGTCCCTCGCCCCCCCCCCCCCCCCCCCCCACCGAATGTGCCGAGAATGGCTCCGACTTAGCCATCCTAAGGCTACTTTTTTCTGTATGGGAGGCAGTGCGACACTTTTATTTGTCGGACACAGGGGGCCTGTAAGTACACTGCATAGTGTCCTACACTTAAAACTGCAGTACACAAAGGGGTACCATAGCTAAAACTGCATGTGCGACACTTTGCAGAGTGGCTGCTCAGCCCGGGGTGGCGCGGGGTGGGCGCGGAGAGGGGTCGGCGCGGCGCCATTGGTCGGCGGGGGCGCCTCCGCGGCCAATGGCACCCACCCCGGCTGGCAACACATGGCGGGAAGGGCCGCTACAGTCGCAGGCGCCCCACGGGGCCCCGCCCGCCCCCGGATCAATGGTACAGTCCGGGCGAGCAGCGTGGGCTCCGCCCAACCCAACCCCAAATAACACCAATATAGAAAGAACCCGTTCCAATATTATAAACTCCGCATCAGCACCTTCCCTCTCACCTGGACGAACACGACGACCGCATCCCTCCCAGGGCCTCCGAGGGTTGCGCTGCGGCCTCGCGCGTCCGCAGGTGCGGAGCTGAGTGTATCGCAACCCCCGGGCGACACCCCCACCCCGCCGGCCTCACCCCACAGTAGCCACCCCAGCAGCATCCTCGGCCGAATCACGGCGCGTCACACTCGCCGAGGACTCCCCGGCACGAGCACGCGCCGCGAGTGCGACTCGCCCCCGACCGCGACCCGCGACCCGCGCCGACTCGCCCTGACCATCGGCCACCCCGACCGGCGTCGAGACCACGGCGAGGACCGCCGGGAGGCGGCCAAGGGAGCAGCACCAGAGCCCCGTCGCGTCGCACCCATGGCGGTGGTCCGCACACTCTGAGCACCGCGCCGAGCAACAAGGACATGATGTCGGTGAGTTTGGTACCCCCTTCATTTTCGGGAATGCACCCCTTCCACATCAGTGTTAACATTTCAGTGTGTGACGTTTCGCGAGGCGACGGTCACGATAGCGCCCGCTACGCGCTGGGTAGGCCGACCCGCCGAGCAGCTGTGCGAGGCCGGCGGCCCGCCCGGAGCGCCCAACAAGCGCGGAGACTCGCGCAAGAGGGCAGAGCTTTCTTTTACGCCACGGGAAAAAAGGTGCTACAATGCCTTTTTAGAGGCGCAAGTGAAATTGTGCCTACACAAAGTCGCAATGAGCAATTTGGAGCAATTTTAGTGCATTTACAGAGTTGAGCAGTAGAAGTGGTAGCACCTTTAAAATCTGTTATGTGTAACACCTTCGTTTCGCGTCATCTCACGGGACGTTCATCGTCGGGGTACACCTGCACCAATGCTAAGAGTTCTAGAAATTATACTGTAGGTGTTGTGTCATCTGAGATTAAAATTTTGACTAATGAGCAGGGTTAGAGACTTAAAATGAAAATCTGCAAAATTTCGCAAAAAAATACTATGAATCCTAATACAAACGTTGCAAACAAAATGACATACGCTCTGCTCTGTAGATAGCAAGGAGGGGACGTTACCGTTTTTAGTGGTATGGCAGAGAAAACTCTCTGCTTCTCAGGCATTTCGACGCTCTTAACTCTTGTTCAAGTTGCCTTCATCAATCGCCTGCTCTTATCGCTGGATATATAGCTTGGAAGTTGCTTTGACGGGAAGGACGGGGGTGGAGCAGAGCGTATCGGCGGGTGGTCTGGTGGTCCACCCTGACCCTGACAGGAGGCCGAACACGACTATAGTTTACTTGTTTCGTGTCTTGCCGTGCCGCCGCGCGTCAAAGTTCCCCAGAGCGAACTCAATTTAACCTCTGTTCCCTGACAGCACCCGATGTGGAACCGTCGGTAAAATCTCATGGGGATAATAAAGTTGCCGGATATCATTTGTGTTTCGTATGTTTTGAAAGTAAATTTGTTAACCAAGCTGTATTTTGCAGGCACTGAGCGCGGCCGAGCTCGGCGTGGCCGGCTACGGGGACTTGGCTCCGTACGGCGCCCTGTGGGAGCATCACCACCACCATCCGCCCACCTACCACCACCCGCACCCCGCCGACCTGCTGGCCGCGGGCTTCCCCGCTGACCTGTGGGGGGCGGGCGGCCCGCAGTCGCACCGCATGCTGCCTCAAAGGTGAGGGTCCTCGTGAGTGGCACTTCAGGAAGCCCACCCCTAAAAAGAGCACGATTCATGTTACGGCCCTTAAGACGCCACGCGGCTTAACCAATGCCCTTCTCTTAGGTTCGGTGGCGTTCCCGTCGGCGCGGTGGGGCTGGAAAGCCGCGGCGGCGGCGGCGGCCTGGGTGGCGGGCTGGGCGGCGGGCTGGCCGACGGCTCCCCCAAGGCCGGCAGCACCACGTCGCTCAGCAGCCCCGGGTCGCAGGGCTCGGGCGCCTCGGGCGCCACGCCGTCCAGCAGCAGCAAGAAGACGCGGCGCCGCGTGGCCACCATGGCGCAGCGACGCGCCGCCAATATCCGCGAGCGCCGCCGCATGTACAACCTCAACGAGGCCTTCGACAAGCTGCGCCGAAAGGTGCCGACCTTCGCCTACGAGAAGCGCCTGTCGCGCATCGAGACGCTGCGCCTCGCCATAACCTACATCTCCTTCATGAGCGAGCTCATCGGCGGCGACGCGGGCTGCCGGGTGTCGCTCGCCTCGCCGAAGCCCGCAGAGCCGTACGCCATGGGCGGCCAGCGCGGCTACCCGCACGGCGCCTACCCGCTCATACCGACATAGAGAGTTCGGTCAACGCGGCCTCTCCCTTACACCTGCACCTGCAGGGGCAGGGTGGCCCAAAGACTTCTGTTGCTTGATGGCGTTAGGATGACTGAGGGCATCACCTCGGTTTCAAAGGTCTCAAAAGTGACTACTGCGGACATCGTCCAATTGGAGGGTCGGTTCCTCGAAGCCAGGGGCGCCCAAACGAGGGTCAAGGTCGGTCAGCTGACAGACCTCAAAATTCCGAAAGCGGAGGTGGAAGGAGAGGAAAGGGGTGATAGCAAGGGAGGGAAGGGGAGGAGAAAGGAAGGGAAAGAGGGAGAAGGAAAGGGGGGAAAAAGAAAGAGAAAAGAGAAGGAAAGAAAGGAAGAAGGCGGTGGGAGACATGTAAAAGGGTCTATTTACAGTATGTTTGGTCCGTGGTAGCTAGCAAAGTAGTTTTACCCCACACGACTGCTTTGAAAAACCTATCCATCGGGCTCATATTAGCACTGAAATCAGCAATGCAGCTTGCCTGGATTGAAAAGGAAATTTTTGATTCTGTCCATTCACAACCAGAAAAATTTCTTTAGAAAAAAAAAACAAATGTGCCATACCAGTATAAATTATTTGCAGCCATAAAGAACATGTGCCTCAAGGAAGTTTGTACGTTAAAACTCAGAAATGTTCTTCCGTAAGCACACTTGGTTATGCGCCCTAGCGTCCGAAAACATACAGTAGCCTTACTGGTCCAAACATATTGAGAGAGGGTAGCCCTTTCTCATGATACAAAAGACCAAAATTATTACTACATTGCAAACAGTAAAGAAAAAATCATTCAATTCTCTATTGTGTAAGTGTCTGCCCGGCTGTAAGTAGTTTTTCAAGGGGGTTGTAAACACCATTTATGTTGATTTTCTTTTGTTATGTAATAAATTACTTTTAAAATAAATTATGTTTAAAATCAACTTGTTAAAATTTGTTAAAATAAATAGAAGGTTTAACGCTGTTTTGCATATTCTTCACTGTTTTTCATAAGTATAGTAGTGTGTGATGTGATATTGAATTGAAGAGTATGTATCATGTCAGCTGGTTGTTGCGAATTAAAAATACAGAACTTGACTCTAAATCGACACATCTTAAATCATGCAATGACTTAGTGATGCGGTGCAGGTTAACTCACCGGTGTCGCTCACGAAATCATCTTCTGAGTCCGAAAGGGACTCACAATTTTCCTCAACATTAACAGAAAGCAATTTGTACTGGGGGCTAGCAGTGCGTCTCCGTGCAGAAGTGTTCATTCCCTTAATTCTTTCTGTTATACTCCTGTAATTTGCAGACACATCTGTTCTGTTATTGTGCCGACGTAAACAATAACAAAAGGTTATGCCAACTTTTGACAAGTTAAAGTATAATAAAATCGTCACCCGACCGTAGCGATTTTTTTCTTGTTTATCTTATTCGAAAGGTCGAAGATATGTTTGTACAATAATTCACTCTCATTCCATTTTCTTTTATTTTCGGGCTTTATCTGATTTTACTTACTGTCAAAACTCAAAACTCGCAGTGGGTTGGTTGACCGCCCACCGAAATCTCTCCCCTCCCCTCCCCGTCCCCTCCCTCTCCCTTCGCCGCTCGGCTCGGCTTCGGCTCCTCCTCGGCTCGTCGTCGTCGCCGATCGCTTCGTTCGTTTAGTGGTGACAGTCAACCAGCTGTTTACTGTTTTCCATGAAAGGAGATTGTTTACCCATAGTTTATCTCCTCCTGGGCTTTCTCTCGGTACCCCTGGAGTAGCTAGCATATTTTGCGACAGTGGTATTTCCTCGTCTTTGTCAGATGCGGTGAACTGTTTCCGACATTCAGTCTGGTCTGGACCTCTTTGGGTACGAGCCGAAGGTTAAGGACCAACGCAGGGACGGCTTGAAAATGGAACTACAATTTTTGGGAGGTCGGCGTGTTTTGTGGACACGTTCTATATTGCTTGTTTTGTGCTGGGGTTTCTCCAGTGCTTTATCAGTAAATGATGAAAGTGAGCTGGTAATGGTCAATGTGGTAAGTTTGCCCTTGATTTTTTTCTGTACTGTGTATTGTCTGTTTCCAAAAGCAATTCTATTATTTGTGTTAACATCCCCTAGCTCTTCCGCCACGGAGATAGAACTCCAGTAAATCCTTACCCCTTAGATCCTTATCGTAATGCAAGCTACTGGACTACAGGATGGGGCCAACTTACGACAGTGAGGAAACTACTTATTTTTGATGTATTTTGCTTGTGGTGTGACTAAAATTAAAAAAGTCTCTTTTTGTTTTTTAGGTGGGAATGCAACAACATTACGAACTAGGACTGTGGTTGAGACAGCGGTATATTTCACTGCTGAAGAATGATTATTCTAAAGCTGATTTGTATGTCCAGAGTACTGATGTTGATCGTACTTTAATGAGTGCAGAAAGTAATTTAGCTGGACTCTTTCCTCCAAGGGGTTCTCGCATGTTTGAGCCAGGTCTCAAATGGCAACCCATTCCAATTCATACCATTCCGGAACATCTAGATCATGTGTGTTGTAGTTCTTTGAAATTTATTCCCAATCAGTTAGTTTTGATGATGTTTTACATAAATTATTGACTTGTACACAGCTTTTAGCCATGAAAAAATCCTGCCCACGCTATGATGCTGAATTTAACAAAGCAAGAAATCTGCCTGAGATCCGGGCTTTGGAGAAAGAACATCAGGCTCTCTTCAAATACCTTTCCATTCATACTGGTTCTGATGTCAAGACCATTGAAAATGCAGAATATATACATAGCACTTTGTTCATAGAGGTAAATTGTTTGATTTTCTTATTTATTTTCATAACTTTGTACTTATACCTGTATTTTGCGACAGAGTTTGAAAAACCTGACACTACCAGAATGGACAAAACCTGTGTACCCTGAACCACTGAGAACATTGGCGCAGTGGAGTTTTGCTCTTCCAGCCTATACTACTGAGTTACAACGACTAAAAGGAGGTAAGATCAGTTTCTGCTTTAATACCTAGTAAAGATATTACAGCACTAACAAGTTTATCAACTTATGTATCTATATTAAAAATATTAATGTTACAGGCCCCTTAGTAAAAGAGTGGATTGAACATTTCCAAAAGAAGAAGAGCGGTGTTCTTGAGCCAAATCGCAAAATGTACATATATTCAGCTCATGACACAACTATTGCAAATATTCTCAGTACCCTTGGGGTATTTCAGCGTCATTGTCCCCCATATGCATCTACAGTGCTAGCTGAGCTGCGCAAAATCAAAGACAACTATTATGTGGCAGTAAGTCACAGACTATTGTTTAAAATTTATTGTCAGGTGCTTAAAAGTTAAACAATCCTATCCCTTGCATTTGCTTTCTTTCAGATTTTCTACAAAAATTCATCCGCGGCCCGGCCCTTGACGTTGAATGGATGCTCAGAACTGTGTGAACTGGACAAATTTATTAGTTTGTTAAAGCCTGTAATTTCTGAGAATTGGGAAAAAGAATGCCACTACAATTTGATGTTTTCATCTGAGGACTTTAATGATCTCTCCATTTCCGGTATGTAAATTAATCATCCACTTAATATAATATTTATCTATGCTAACTGTTTACTGAGAGTATGTTCTTATTTCAGCTTTGGCTACATCAGGGGTTTTGTCCTTGATTCTCGTAGCAGTTTTAGTGATTGGATTTGTTAAACAGAGACGTCAAGTAAATAATCAATTTCGCTATCAAACAGTCAGTACTAGAGCTGATGCCTGAATTCCATCTCTCTCAAATTATGACGAGAATTCACTAGTTTTTCACACTAGTTTTTCAAGTGGTTTGCTAACTTTTTTCTTGAATTGCTAATCTTTATCTTTTTATCTGTCTACCTTTAAGTTTTAAAGTTGAGGGATATATATAGCATGTGAAAGCAAACCCCTTTCAAAAAAAAATGTCACAATTTGATTTTAACTTTTTTTTTAAGTAACCTTGTGAGTCATACCTGCGTACAGGAGGATGTTACTTATCTAAGTCTATGACATTATGTGCAATACTGACACTCATTTTTTTTAAATGAACATACGTTCCTAATTTCAAGGTTTTCCTTTTTACAATTTTTGCCACCTCTTTGTGATGAGATTGTTTATAGTCATATTACTTGATCTCACTTTCTGTTAGGCTATAGTATTCATTGGAATTTGAATTAATTTCACTGTATAAAACTGTATAGTAATAGGAGGTTGAAAATTTTGTAGGAAAGGGTTTTGTGTGAATGTTATTACATAATTTATCGAGGATTTATTCACCTGTGACGCATCATTGGTTTCCCTTTTTGTGCTGTTGGTAAACGTATCACAACAGAAACAAGTGTTTCCTGAACTTAAAAGTTAAGCGATCCTAATATTGTTGCAGTAAAGTTAGTCGGTCTGAACTGTGTGTCTACCTTTTGTTTTTGTCTTGTGGTAAATTTTAAGATTCCCCTGAAAAGTTATGCTAAATTGAACTTTTTGAGCTGGAAGTAGAATGTGCTTTTAGGAAATTACCAGTAGCTAAAATTATGGTTTTACTTTTTAAAAATATTCTTTTGGATTATTATTATCATTACTTTTGAGATGAAGACTGATGGCCTAGCAGTTTTGCTATGTCTATGTTAACATAAAGGACTTAAAATAAACTCTCATCAGTGGAGCATTTTATATTACTGGTATTCAAAACCTGAGGCTGTGACTTGTTTTTTGTTCCTTTGTGGATTATGTTTCTGTGCCATTGCTTTTATTTTTTTTTCCTTTGCTTTTTGAGGGAGGAAGTGCTCAGTTTTCTGCAAAATTGTTTATTTACCTCAAGCTTGTGGTGCATTGCATTGAACACTTTTTCAATCAACTTGTGTTCATGATTTCTTTGTTGCTTTTACTTGGGAAGTAAAGAATAATTTTAAAATAATAGTATGTACATGTTTTATTTCTGTCCTAATGTAATAATTAACATATACTTGACTGACCAATGTGAGTGCCAGTCGCTGTAGTACTAGCAGGTAACAGATAATGACTCATGATTTTGAGTCCTTCTTGTCCAAAAACCTTCCGGGTATATCCTCAAATTCACTTCCGTATTTAGGAAAAGATTCATATCCTCGAGGGCTGCTAGGGTTATCCAGTAATTTTGAATCTTTACTTTCAGCTGCAAGTTTTCTGGCATTCTCTTTAGTCTGCAGCATTGTTTGATAATTTTGGGCAATCTCCTCTGGGGTTGGAGGTACTTTCCTTCGACCTCTGAGCCATGCCTCCCACTCCGCTGGTAACTCCTGGTGGAAATCCTCTTCGCCTGCCCTAGGTAAATAATACCTATGGGGCTTAGTTCTATTTGACGCAGCAGTTGGTACCGATTCAAAGTATTTGTTTCCAAGACTATCTTCCCCCTTTAAAACTGGTTTAGTTTGATGCCTTTTGAACGAGTTCAAAAAACTTTGAAAGGCTTGTAGCAACAGCCTACGGGGTGGTCGAGCCATTTCAGTGTCCTAAGGAAATAGAGTAAAATACTTCAGACAAACATGTAAGTGTTTGACAAAGAAATGTGAAATTAAAGGGAAACTAAAAACATAACCTTCCCACTTAGGTACAGTACCTGTACTGGAAGATTAGCAAAGAGATTTCTTAAAACGCATGAAAACTTTGATGTCACTTACTTTTTAGCACAAAAGAGAGACAACTCCTAAAATGACAAATCAATGATTTCGCGTTACACAATTATTGTTGTTGTTCTTGACGTATACGGTAAAGCATGAGTAAAGTAAGGTACCCGCCCGAGATTCGCCCGAGCCGCGTAGGCCGGGTGCCTCGGAGAGGCTATGAGTGAGTTGTTGCCTTAGAACACCATGACAATTTCAGCGGTGGTTCACCGCGCTTGAGTCTGAATTCCTCGTCGTGTCGCACGATAGCCTCTCTGTTGGTAGCCTATCTCTATCCAGTCCAGTGACTTCACTAAGCTCAGATACAAAGCGTCGTCTGCTGTATATTTCCTAGAACGTACCCACAAGTTTGTTGATAAAATGGAGTGTCAAAATGTTTTCGCACAAATGAAAACGTTCTGCGTTTCTTTGGTCCCGGAAATTTTTATCTTTGAAGATGTAATCTTGTAATTCTTCCCACTACCTCCGGTGAGTCAATGTAATTTTTGTGATAGCAACTCTTCAAAATTCTGTTAAAAGGCGAGGGCGTAACAACAATGTCGGTGATGGGCGGATAGTGTTCCAAAGCCTCCAAAGCCAACCATGGCAATTTAAATTTTGCTATGCCATGCGTAACTAGTTCATCGCTCGCTTGAACATACTGTCTATTGATCTGTGGTATGCGTGTTACCTTGCCTAGGTTCTTGATTTTCATTACATTGGTTCAAGACATTTCTATCTACCATTGATGAGTTTTTATTTTCCAGGTCCAAATTTACTATTTGACTCTTTTTCTCATAAACTCATCATGAGAAAGGTCCTTAATTTTGTGAAAGGGAAGCGGGACGATAAAAAGGAAGCTTCTTTATCTTTGAACGTGACAAATATATCAGTCGAAATCACTGACCCTGCAGGAGTCACCACACCAAGTGATGACTATGACTTTGTTGGAACTACAGAACAGTGCACTGATTATGAGGTAACTATTCTGAACACCATAAAAAAAGACATGAGAGTTTAGTTTTTGCTTATTCTTTATTGTTTTGTCTATTCTTGTAGGTTGATTTGTCTGGGAAGGATAAATCTATCACTAAACTCCATAAAGCAGCATGGGTGGGGAATTTGGAAAAAGTGAAATCTCACTTAAAAAAGATAGACGTGAATGTTGTTGATGCTTCAAGTCGCACACCCTTACATCTTGCTGCAGCCCAAGGACACACAAATGTTGTTTGGTTTTTACTTTCAAGTAGGGCGGCAACCGACATAATAGATGCTGGAGGAAAGACTTCTTTTTTGAAGGTAAACTTGCTGTTTGTTTATCTTGTTTTGTCTTTAGTATTATGAATGGTTGATAAATTTACAATTAACCCTGAACTGTTATCAGGCTGTAGAAGGGGGCTATAAAGAAATTGTAAGCAACATGTTAGAGAAAGGAGCTGAAATAAATTTAAAAGATGCAGATGGCAACACAGCTCTTCATATTGCAACTAAACTGGGATATTACGATATTGCTACAGTACTGTTGAAAAATGGTGCCAATTTTGAAAGTGCAAACAAGGTATTAAGGTGTACTCATATAAATCTATCTACATGTTTCAATGTTTTAAGATTTCATGATTTTAAAATATTGATTTTAATATTTTACAGAAAGGAGAATATGCCCTCCACATAGCAACGACAGCAGAGCACATGGATTTAGTGGAGCTTCTTTTGCGCTATGGAGCAGCAGTTAATGTTACAGATGTTGATGCTCGTACTCCTTTGATGCTGGCTGCTCGTTGTGGAAATGCCCCTTTAGTAGAGTTGTTTTTAGAGTATGGTGCCAAACGAGACATGACTGACAACAGCAGTAAGTAGTTGGACAAGAAGACTGAAACTTTCTTTCAAGTAGTTGAGTTATTGCATTTGATAAGAATAAAATGAAAACATTTCAGGTTTCACAGCTCAAGACTATGCTATCAACAAGGGATATGGTGATCTTGCAGCATTACTAGTCACAGCAATGATTGAAAGAATTGAAGAGGAAGGAGAAGATGAAGAGGAGGAGAAGGAGGAGGAAGATGAAGAAGAGGAGGACGTTGAGGGGAAGATAGATGACACTGAGACAGACACAAGCTCCCAGAGAATAGACAAGCAAAGATCGGTCTCATCTGGTTCACTTGTACCTGTGAATGGAAGCAATGTGGTATGACTTTAACTTCCAACATCAACCAATAAACTACCATTAATGTTTTTCTTACACAATCTTTATCATTTAATGATTCTGCAGGATGTATCAGATGTTCCAGCTGAAGATGGTGATAGTTGGCATGACAGTGACGTATCTGACTCTCACAAGGAAACCAGGGTAACTGTCCAGTTTTTGAATCACTTCCTTTTGAATTTTTAATTCTCCTTTTGCATGACTCATTTTAAATACCGTAGAGAATACCCTGAGCACTCATGCAGCTTTTACAGATTTCCCAGTCCAAGCTGAAGAAATTTCTTTTGCCTACTTCTGATGATGAACAATGTGATGAGCAAAGCCCTGTGCAAGGCGGAAAAAACGTACATGATTCCCCCAACTCCTGTGTGATACCTCCTCCGCTTCAACCTCCCCGCAGTTGGGATCTTATCCAAGCAGGAATGATTGATGATAATACCGTAAGATTCCTCATAGAATAATTATCAGAAAAAAGAGATGTTTAGATATGTATATGCCTTCTCCATAATTGCTATTTTCATGTAATGTTTTGATTCCAGAGTTCAGAGGTAAAACGATGCAGTTTGACAGCACTAGGAACATTGCGGTCACGGCGAGAGAGCTTCAATGACTCAATAAAGAGTGATATTGAATCCCCCTTGAGTCTCAAGGAAGGTGCTGAGACCAAAGAGCTGGAGAAGGGTGCTATTGTTACATCAAAAACAAATTTATGCAGCAAGGTCATTGAGACCACTGCTCTGAAGAGAGATAAGAGTGACTTATCTGCTGTTGAAAGTGATTGGGATAGCAGTGACGAAAGCCTTCCTCTTGACAAAATTGCTGCTACTCCAGCCGAAAAAACTTTAGGCTCTCCAAAAATAGTTCAACAAATTTCAGTTGATGTTCATCAAGAACCTATTGATGATGATTTGCCGGAACCACCATCTCCTTCACAACTTTTAGTGCCTGAAGATACAGGATTTTTGCAGGTATTTCCTAGAATGTAATTGGAAATGTACTATATTCATTAGGTCATCCATTTTTCTCACATAATGTCATGCTCCTTTCAAAACAGGTCACAAACCTATCTGCCCCTGGTTCTGGAGCTGTCAGTCCTGAGCCAGTCAGTGAAAAGCGTGCACGAATGCTTCTCATGCAAAACCAGCAATCAGTTGAGCTTACTCTGACTGATGACCGTACAGAAGACAAATCTGAGCACAGTCAAGACTCCCCATCAGCATTGCCAAAAGATGGGGAAGGAGATAGCCAAGGGCAGGTAGGGTTGTGTGTTAATACTGTCACCTTTTACAATCTTCATTCATTTCATTTCCATTTTAACTGATGTAGTGTTGGTGTTTGTTTCTACAACAGCCAGATTGTTCTGCTGATATTGGCACTTTAGGTCGTGATGGAACTATGATGGGTTATGATGAAATGTGGGAATCCAATGCAGCATTTGCACCTTCCAGCCCAACTGATATGGAACCACCACCGCCACCACCACCACCACAAAACCACAGTCTTCCTCGAATAGAGGAAAAGGTTGAGACTAGCGAAGGGGAGCAATCACCTAGTTCCCAGATTATTATTGACTTGAATGTGCCAAAGATTACGGAGATCTCTAATATTGACATTCTTACCTCTCCAATTGGTAAATCAGTCTTTTCCATTCCACCACCCGTACCTTTGGCAATTGTGGGCAAAAGTGAAGAAGTGGAAGATTTGACAAAAAAATCTCAAGATACCAAGTTGTTGTCTACCAAGAGACATGTTCGAAACAAGTCAATATTTCAAATGCCTTTGCCCAGTGAATCAGCTCAGCAGCTTGACCAGTCTATTCCTCAACTCCACCTACCATCCACTCAAGCAATCCATGACCAAATTATAAACAGACAGCTGGAATGTTATGATATTGCCATTAGAGACCTTGCTGTTTCAACTCCCTCGAAACAAGACTCATCAAGAGTTGGCAATATGCACCCTATTACAATTCAAGCTTTGAAATCAGATGAAACAGTTGGAACAGATTCATTTGTTGATAAAGGACACAAAATTATGCCTGATCTATTAGCTGGTTCTAAAGTTGCTGCTCTGGCATCTGCCTTTAGTGGTAAACCTGTCTCTTCTCACAGTCAGATTATTAAAAAATCTGCTACTGATCCCAAAATACCATTGGCCAATGAGGGTGAAGAAGAGATTGAAGAGGAAGATGATGGAGAATACAATGAAACTACTGTTAAACCGGGTAGTGTAGAAAAGCCACTAAGGAAGAAACGTAAATCACTTCTTGCTATGCAAAAATTGGAGCCTACGACTTCACAGGGCTCTCAGGGCTCACAGATTGCAGATGTGTACAATAGCTCTTCAGAATCAGAGGAGGAACCTGCATACTGGGGCTCAGCAGGAATAAACAATAACAAGGTGTTCAGGCAATCCACGGTCATTAAAAGGGACAGTGATATTCTTGGTGCAGATCAATCCAATATCTTATCTCCAGAAAATCTATCCCTGGAGGATATTCAACACACAAGCACATCAGGAAGCAGTAATGAAGATGTTACTGCAGAAGTTGAAGATGTTAGAAGGTAAGAATTTTGAATAAATGAACATCACCATCATAAAATATGTTATTAAAAATATTTTGTAATCTTTCTGAATTTTAGCTCCTTAAACATCAGAGATGCAAGTGGATTAGGTAAGAAAATAACTATGTGTGTTGAGTGTATCATCACAGAGGTATAATCTTCTCATTGTGGACTATTTGTTTCTATTTATAGATGAAAAGGATTCAAAGCTCTCAACAGCTGACTCTGATGCAGAAAGCGGAGCCTCACAAACAGAGGGTACACCATCGCATTCTTACCTAAAGGTGAGTTTGCACTTTGTTCTTCCTCCATTCCTCTTAATAAGAAACACTGTCTTATAATATTAATGTCTGGGCAGAGTCATGAGGTTCTGCTTAAACACCATCTTCAAGTTGTGACTGAAGAACGTGGACGGCTAGCAGAAACCACAGTTGAACTGGGTGAAAAAACTGAACGTCTAATGTATGAGCTTGCTGATGCTCGGGAGGCTGCGAGGGCAAGAGATGAGGTGATATCTATGCTTCAAATCCAGCTGCAACGGCTTGAGGAGAGTCACATTAAGGGTCTTGAAGAAGTTCAAACCCATAGATTTCATCTTGATTCTCGAGACCAAGAACTACGCCACCTTGAAGAAGTTTGTCGAAAGGTAAAAATTACTTCACTTTCACATTCTTTTCTGTCGGTAGTTTACCTTCAATATTTTTATTTCCCTAGGCTCAAGAGGAAGCAATTCATCTGAAAGAAATCATTCGATTAAAGGACAAGGAGATTGCTCATTTGACATTGATACGAGCCAACCGTGATGAAGAGGCTCACAGACAATCCATGGCACGAGACAAAGAGAAAGACATGACTATAAATGAACTCAGGATTCATTTAGTAAGCAAAACAGTTTTTGTTCTTGGTTTAGTTTTTTCAAAGGCTTTAGTTCATTTAATTAACAAATTCATTTACTATGTTCATATCTGCAGAAATATGTGGAGCAGGAGAAGGATAGATTGAAAGAGACGCTAGTGACAATGGAACATCAACAAGCAAGCTTACAAGCTCGGACTGATACACTTATTGAGGAGAATGCTCGTTCAAATTCCCAAGTCACCAGTGACCTTCGGAATGCACAAGAAGAAACGAACAAGTGGAGAAGCTTGTATGTTATTCTCTAGCGGTTCTCAACACATTTTCCCTTTGTCTTTGACTGTGGTAATATTTTTATTGATTCTTCTTTTTTCCTAAGATATGAATCATGTCTTTTAAAATTGGAAGCTATGGATTCTTCTCAAGTTAAAGTTCTTCTAGAGGCAAAAAACAGTGAGGGTGATGCTGCTCAATCTTACAGAAATGAAATTTTAAGTGCTGTTGAGAGACTTGAAAAAGAAAAAGATGCCGATCGTCTGATTTGGCAAGCCAAGATAAAGGTGATCACATCTGTTTTGAATGAAAGACACTTTTTTATAATTATTCTTGGACCTGTATTTCAGAATTATTTATTTTTCATTCAACAGGAGGAGGTAGCTAGTGCTGTGAATTTATTGAAGTCAGAGTATGAGAAAGTTGAGGAGACATTACGAAAGCACAATGCCACTCTTGAGGTAATGGTTGAGAGACTTAAAATAGACCATGACATTGCAATCAAGAGACAAGAGTCACTAGAAAATCAGCTAAGATCTGCCCAAACTGAGCTTCAACTTAACAGAAGAGATGGTTCTGAACTGTCTCAACTTCAACATGAAAATTCTAGGATGAAGAATCAAGCATTGACAGATCAAAACAAAATCCAAACACTTGAATCTGAACTTAAGCTCAAAGATCAATCGTTGATAGATTTTAACAAAACACTACAAATTGTCCGTCAGGAAAATAAAGCTTTGGCAACTCTTTTGTCAGACATTACTGAAAGTCCAAAAGAAGAAAAAGAAATTGTACGTAAAAGCAATTCAAAGGCAATACTGGACAGCGAAGGATGTATTGTTGAAACCAAAGTTACCCAGGAATTGGAAGGTACCTTACAGCAAGAAAAGGAAGAGCTACTGAAGGAAGTTACTGATTTGAAACTAAAATTGCAAAAACGTGACAGCTCACCTAGCTCAGCCAATCTTTGTAATGCTTCAGCTATGACTGACCAAGTGCGTTGGAATCAGACTGGGCTAATGGGTGTAGTGCAGAAGCAGAAGGAAGAGATTGAAGTTTTGAAATCAGAGTGTGCCAAGCTTAGATCCACCAGCAAGAGCCCATCTCTATCACCCATCAATGTTCCCCCTGAAATTAAACCCAGACCAGGAAAACTGTCCCCAAAACCTGTAAAATCTCCGACTACCATAGATTTGCTCAAATCAACTGAGAAGGGAGAAGGGCAAATGCTTCAGCCCTTCGTGTGCAAAAGATGCTGTAGCCCTCTTTCACCCACGAGTTTGCAAACCAATGGACAGATGAGAAAAAGCAGCACTGAAACTCAAACTATTGAAGGTTGTGAGTCCCCTGCACATTCTTCCAAATGCTCTTCCCCTCGTCATAGCTGGAACCAAAATGTATGATGGATATAAAATAACTCTTTACATGTTTCTATACATTGCTCTTTAACATTTTCTTTATTTTTTATTGAAATTAGCAGGTTATTGGACACAATATAGAACAAGAGTTACAGGCACAGGCAGAGAAGTGTTTAAAACACCAGCAAATGATTGCTGGTCTTAAATCAGAACTTCAACTATTACGGGGTGGTAGTAGTGATTATCAAATAAACCTACAGAAACAAGTAGGTTTTCTATTTGTATCCTTTTCTTATTTTTGTGATTCACTTAATAATGTGCTAGCTTTTTAATAATCTTCTTTGTTCTACAAGGTATCTGATTTACAGCAGAAAATCAAGGATGAAATGAATCTTAGATCCAGTCTAGAAATACAAATGAACAGAATGAAATATGAAGTTCAGGTTTGTGATAACACTTCTTCAATTTTTCCCCTCTTTTCTATTCTTTTGCCTTTAACTAATGTAATATAATTTTCAAATATATTTTTTGCCTCTTAGGAAAAGTGTCGGGTAGAAAAAGAATTAGAGAAATTGAAAGGCCGCCTTGAAAGGGAATTTGTTCTGAGGAGTGAATTGGATTATCTTAATCGAGTAAAGGCTGATGAATCTTCAGAACTGAGCACCAAATTAGCTCAAGTGAACAAACTTCTGTTGCAACAGGTAAGTCCAGTTGACCCAAGGATATCACTACAATTACAAAGATATTATGGATTGGATTGATTGAATGATGTTATTGTTGAGTTTCTCTAGAAAACAAAAGTGGGATATTGTTTATTTATCTTGGTCAGTTAGAATAAAACTTTTGTCTTATAATCTAGGTCCATGACAAGAATTCTGGTAAGGAAAAAGAGAACATTGATGCTAAAATACACAAAGAATATGAGGAAACTAGACAGTACTTAGTTTCAGAGCTTGCAAAAGTTCAGGCATCACTACAAGGTACCTGCATACATAGTTCAATGTATAGATCACAGTTTGAAGTTTTCTTGACAGTCCTTTGATCTTTCCTTGCAGCCAAAGAAAGTGAAGAGAAAGAACTTAAATTGAAGTGTGAAAAATTGTCCCGTGAATGTGACAAAAAAAATGAGCAAAGAAGGAAGATGTTGATAGAAAAATCGTATAATCTTGGACAACAGTTCATGTAAGTTTTACTTCTATATTTTTGTTTCAAACTCTATACACCTATTCTTTTCTTGAACACATGTTACCAATTAGTCTTAAAATTTTAAACCAGGAAGGACAAAAATATTGGCTCCAATGACCAAAAACCAACAGTAGCAAACCCTGAATCCACTGTGCTGAACACGCAACCCACAAAAGTAGTTAGTGCTCCACTGGACAAGCCATACTCCCAACTCTTGCGCAAAGAGGTTAAAAAAAGTGCTGAAAAATACAAAACTGCAGGTAAATTTTCTTATCAATGGATAATCAGCTTCTAAAAATTTTTTAAGACTTTTGTTTCATTATTCTTGAAATTTTCAGATCACATTCCTGACATATCTTCAGGCCCCAAGTCTGAAGAACATTTGTCGTACTTGGAAAAGAAATATTGTCTACCATAACTTTAAGTGGGGGGACCTTGTAAGTGTGAAAAACATGCATAGAACATTTCCATTAATTCTTGTCACATCCTCAATTTTGATAAGATATCAAATGCAACAGCCTTCTATGTGATTTTGTACTTTACCAGAGATGGTATGAAGGTCTCAGTTGCAACATTATGTCTCCACGTTTGCCAATTTCCCTCTATTTGAGGTTTGTGCCAAAACGCACAATTTATGTAAGTCATCATCCTGCCAAAGAAGAAAAGTCTTTCAAGTCATTTTCATGTATTCTTGTGTTTTTCTAGTGTTAAGTGTACTTATCCTTTTTACTGTAGTTCTCTTCACTAGTCATTTTTGCCCTGATTTAACCTCTTTGATTACAAAGCACAAAGAAAGCACAAGTGAGAGGTATATACCAATGTAAGGCTGAACTTTGCAACCAGTTGCCAAGATTTTGTAGAGTTATATTCAGACAGACAGATTTTCTTAGCCATTTGATATTTGTCCAATCTGACGTAGTGTATACAAGACTACTTCAAAGATAGGCATTGAAGTAATGACATTGATTCCTTCATATGAAAGTGCAAAGACATTAGTTATATTATGTGTGGAACAATATTCTTATATCTATGCCCCCCCCCCCCCTCGTATTATCGGGGCTTCCTTCATTTTGCCAATCTTGTAGATCTAGATGACATATTGTCATTTTAATTTTAATGTACGTACTTCACTATAGTTTACTATTGAATTTGAATTTTATAGTCAACCATTCCAATTACTGTAGAAGTTTTTGATGAAATACCAATGGGTAAAACATGAGCTCTTTATCAAGCTCAGTATTGAAAAGACATTGACTGGTTAAAACAATTTCCCTGTATTTTGTTGTGTTGGACTACTTGACTAGCACCTTTAGTAATCAATCCACAATCTGACAATATGAGATTTAATCATTAGGTCAGATTGTAGAGTGATAGTCTTTTAAGTAAGATTTTTGTAAAATCAGAGGCAGCATATAGTACCTATTTATGAATAGGCTTGGCAGCAATTCTAAGTTTGTCATTCATTCTATAATTTTATGTCACTCACAGACTTTAAAAAACTGTGAGTAAAATGTTTCCTATTTTGTTTTGAATTACTCAACGAACCCAGTGTCTTAGTCTTACGTACAAGTATTAGTTTTGGCAGTAACATCTAGTCATTTCAAACATCTCAAGAAAATATTGTTGAAGGGGTGTTTGTGTTGCATTATGTATCCTGATGTCTATGCTGTCAATGTTGACATATAGCAAGCATTGCATCTATTTAAAGGCTCTTAAACTAATTATGAATTTGTTGTGATTTTTGTGGGTATTTTCCACAGCTATTAAAGGCTTAACTATTATTATTACAAGTGATATTAATGTTGTTTCTTTAACAGTCATATGCTATATTATGATGTCAATTTTTACAAGTGAGAAAGTAGTTGCCACTTTGTGCATGATTCCATTGACTTTTTAAGACGAATTTTAACTTTATTCAGGTTTGCTATGATTTTTTGTTCAAAGCTCTTTATTTTCTTTCATTTTTTTTCTTCATCTATAATTCTTATTTATTGAAGACTTATAAAAAACTTGTTCCAGTCTCTTTCTTCCCCTGAAGCAGCTTCCAGTATCTTGGTTTACCATTTTGAATGTGATTATCGTAAGAGTTCAAACATGTCAAGGTTATTATTTGTAGTTTAATTTGTGCATTTGTTAACTGCATTTGTTCACGCAGGTCCTCTATTCTATTTTGGTTCAATTTTTTTTTAATGTTCCAAATGTGCTGTTTTGGCAAAGCTTTTACTGTTTTTGCTCAAATAATTATTCTATATTTCCTCTTTACTAGAGATATAACCAATTTTCACAAAGTTGTATGTTTGTTAGAAATCTCATCATTTGTCCAGTATTATTGTTCGGGCATGAGTATGTTATTGTATTAAATGTATCACTCTAGTTGCCACGTTGTTGTGTAGTGATTATTGAATATTCTATTCGAAAACCTTTACAATGTGTCAAATATATGTGTGGGTTAACAAAGATTGCACAAATGTGTGGGAAGAAATTTAAATACAAAGATGAAATCCTCATATTATTCATAAAAAGTACTGCAATTAGCTGAGCACAGCTTAGATTCTTTTTTCAAAGTTCAGATAGACATAGGTATTACATGACAAAGACTTTGAATCAGCTGGAATGATGTCAAAGTTTTTCAATATTTGTTAGTTTTTGTCATTAAAAAAATAATATTATTTCTGAACAATTATTGTTGTGCTAAAAGTTTGTAGAGGCCTCCCTGTGAGATCCCTCCATGAATATTTCGTTTAGTTGGTTGTGAGTTTCTTGGGGTCAGAGATTGTGCGTATCTTTTGGAGCAAGGGTACTATTTATATTCTATTTATTCAGGTGGATGTTCAGGGTGGTCCACAGACCCCTTCCTTTATTTTGCTTATACTGTACCGGATGCAGGCGTGCGGACGGGTTGCATACTCGCACGGGGCCATAAGGCGCCCATGTTGAGCGACGGTAGGCAAGCCCGCCCGCACGCATGCATGCGGTACAGTATACGCAAAATAAAGGAAGGGGTCTGTGGACCACCCTGTATAGGCTTAGATGTATCCCAGAACTGTGAAGCTGGGAACCTCATAAAATGTACTTGATTGGTCGAGAGCTTCTCGCCTAATTCAGCTTCTGCTAATATTGTGTGCTATTATAATGATTTTGATTGGTCCAAACTCGCAGGCGCTGTCGGGAACGCGCAGGATTTTGCGCGGTTCCACGGGGAGGCTCGCGATTCGCGGTTCCGCCGGGGATGCGCGGAATCCTGCGCGCTTCTGACAGCGCCTGCGAGCCGGTACTTATGCAACCCACCATACTAGCATGTAAGACCTGGGACACCCTGTATGTTAATCGCACTTTGTCCGCACATTTTCTTCTTCTTTGAAGAAGCAATTCGCATTTCTGGGATACCGACCTGATGCATATACAGGTGGCTGTTTTCTCCCGTTGGATCAGATGAGTGCACCAGCCCACGAGCATAGTCGCGCGGGCCTATCGAATATTACCACACCGCCTTAAGGCCCCGTGCGAATAGGCAACCCTGCTGCACACTAAACCCTTGTGTATTTTGCTGTGCATACTGTACGAGTTGTGCACGAAATTCACAACAAAATGCATAAGGGTCTATAGAGTGCACTCCTGGATCCGGGCTAAGCGGCAACTAAACCCATTCTCTCGAACGGGGCACAACGGCCGCCCTGTACAGGGTACATGTATACTGGTTGTTTCTTTTTTGCACGCGCCGGTACCGGTACAGACCGGATTGCCTTGCCTACTACCTCTCCCCATAATACGCCATGGTCCCTGTGAGTAGGCAAATACCCGGTCGCATCACTGTCGCGTGCGAAGAAACACCCGATACAGCTGATTAAATGGGATATGTATTGTACTTTCAAAGATAATTTCTTTTAAATGAAAAAATCAGAGGGGGACCTCCGAACATTCTATCAGGCTTGGAAAAAAGTCTCATTCAATACTTGAGTTTCATTATATTTCAATAAGGATTTTTAAA